TTTGAGCCTGTCTGTCCCGTGACTGGACCATTGCTTGGCGCAGACATGAAATCCATTGCTGCTTATTGAAGGAGTCATTAGCCTGCAGGCTGTGGGATTGAGACTTGGAGCGCCCTGTGGTGCTCACACGAAAACAGTTCTTCACTGGGAGGGAGTTAGAAGAAAAATGTGGAATTAGAATGAAACGAAAGCAATTAGAACACCTCCAATGTCAAATAAAAAGCATGTAGAATTACAAAAAAACAAAAACAGTTAAACAATTTAAGCCTCTAATGCATTCATTATAAAATCAATAGTAAATCAAACTTATTATAACATATTATTATTTTTTAATTATTTTAAAATGCTAAACATTTTAAATACCAAAAAATTTATAAATTACTATTGAAAAATGTAACAATTTAGGTTAGGTTGCCTGTGAAAATAATTTAATTCAACACCTTTGTCAAACAAAATCATTGATATGACTGTAACCATTTTAAAATAATGTTTAATCACTAGTAAATTTAAATCTTTTTTTATTGCAAGAAAAAAAATGGTTTATTCAAATTCAAATCTCTTCCATTTTAATAATTTAATTACTATCCTTTACATGACATGTGCATGCAAACTGAAAGAAAAAAAAAACCCGGTCACCTTAATTTTTCTTATTTTTTTAAGCAACTGATAAATAATATTTATATATATTTTTTAGATATTATTTTAAAATAAATATTAAAATACTGAATATTATATAATAATCTAAAAATGTAACACACAGTAAAAAGAAATTAAACACTTGATGTTAAACTAAAAAATGTTTATTCAAATTCAATAGTAATCATTTTATTGCAATCCCACATACGTCATATGCTTGCAAACTGAAAGAAAAAAAAAAAGAGTACAAGTGTAAGATGCAATGCCACTACCTTTATCATTGCCCGTAAAAGCCCCACGAAAGGATCCAGAGCTGCTTGGCTCTCCATCAGGTATATATATATATATTTTCCAATAAAACCGGTTAAGCAAGAAGCATAAATCTAATAAAAAATCCTCCCCTTATGAGAAATTTGACAGCAACAAACATCCACATATGAAGTATACAAATATAGCTACATGACCTTATTCTCACAGTTTCTAGACAGGTTGTGAGACAGCAACTGTGTGATCTCATTTGTCCTGAGAAAGTTAGCTGTCATGGTCACAATAAAAGGGAAATCCTGTCTTTGTGAATGAACCATTGAACTGGAAAGCACCGGTAGCCCTGGTCTATGTGTCTGGCATCTCCACATCAGAGTT